TGGTATTATAATGATAACTATGTGACTGGTGTAGCAGTAACATGGTGGTATTATAATGATAACTATGTGACTGTTGTAGCAGTAACATGGTGGTATTATAATGATAACTATGTGACCGTTGTAGCAGTAACATGGTGGTATTATAATGATAACTATGTGACTGGTGTAGCAGTAACATGGTGGTATTATAATGATAACTATGTGACTGTTGTAGCAGTAACATGGTGGTATTTTAATGATAACTATGTGACTGTTGTAGCAGTAACATGGTGGTATTATAATGATAACTATGTGACTGGTGTAGCAGTAGCAGTAACATGGTGGTATTATAATGATAACTATGTGACTGGTGTAGCAGTAACATGGTGATATTATAATGATAACTATGCAATTGGTGTAGCAGTAACATGGTGGTATTATAATGATAACTATGTGACTGGTGTAGCAGTAACATGGTGGTATTATAATGATAACTATGTGACTGTTGTAGCAGTAACATGGTGGTATTATAATGATAACTATGTGACTGTTGTAACAGTAACATGGTGTTATTATAATGATAACTATGTGACTGGTGTAGCAGTAACATGGTGGTATCATAATAACTATGTAACTGTTGTAGCAGTAACATGGTGGTATTATAATGATAACTATGTGATTGGTGTAGCAGTAACATGGTGGTATTGTAATGATAACTATGTGACTGGTGTAGCAGTAACATGGTGATATTATAATGATAACTATGCAATTGGTGTAGCAGTAACATGGTGGTATTATAATGATAACTATGTGACTGGTGTAGCAGTAACATGGTGGTATTATAATGATAACTATGTGACTGGTGTAGCAGTAACATGGTGGTATTATAATGATAACTATGTGACTGGTGTAGCAGTAACATGGTGGTATTATAATAACTATGTGATCGTTGTAGCAGTAACATGGTGGTATTATAATAACTATGTGACTGGTGTAGCAGTAACATGGTGGTATTATAATGATAACTATGTGACTGGTGTAGCAGTAACATGGTGGTATTATAATGATAACTATGTGACTGGTGTAGCAGTAACATGGTGGTATTATAATGATAACTATGTGACTGTTGTAACAGTAACATGGTGGTATTATAACGATAACTATGTGACTGGTGTAGCAGTAACATGGTGGTATTATAATGATAACTATGTGACTGTTGTAGCAGTAACATGGTGGTATTATAATAACTATGTGACTGTTGTAGCAGTAACATGGTGGTATTATAATAACTATGTGACTGGTGTAGCAGTAACATGGTGGTATTATAATAACTATGTGACTGCTGTAGCAGTAACATGGTGGTATTGTAACGATAACTATGTGACTGTTGTAACAGTAACATGGTGGTATTATAATGATAAATATGTTACCGTTTTAGCAGTAACATGGTGGTATTATAATAACTATGTGACTGTTGTAGCAGTAACATGGTGGTATTATAATGATAACTATGTGACTGGTGTAGCAGTAAAATGGTGGTATTATAATAACTATGTGACTGTTGTAGCAGTAACATGGTGGTATAATGATAACTATGTGACTGTTGTAGCAGTAACATGGTGGTATTATAATAACTATGTGACTGGTGTAGCAGTAACATGGTGGTATTTAATGAACTATGTTGTAGCAGTAACATGGTGTATTACAGTAACATGGTGTATTATAATGGTATTATAATAATATGTGACTGATTGTAGCAGTAACATGGTGGTATTATAATGATAACTATGTGACTGGATGTAGCAGTAACATGGTTTTGTGTCCTGTTTATACAAAATTCTATCTTTGTCTCTAACACTAACACTGTATATAATAGATATAATGACTATTGACCTCGACTTGTGTCCTGGTGATACAAATGTAGAAAAGATCAAACGAAAGAATCAGAAACAAAGAAAAGTTGAAGAATTAATAACACTGGACGACTTAGTTGTCTCGGCTGTGATGCTAGATCATACAGCTGTTCTGTCCTTCTAGGACTCGTCAGTGATGCTACATCATACAGCTTTTTCGTCCGTCTAGGACTCGTCTGTGATGCAACACCATACAGCTGTCCTTTCCTTCTAGGACTCGTCAGTGATGCTAGATCATACAGCTTTTTCGTCCTTCTAGGACTCGTCAGTGATGCTACATCATACAGCTTTTTCGTCCTTCTAGTTGTCTCGGCTGTGATGCTAGATCATACAGCTGTTCTGTCCTTCTAGGACTCGTCAGTGATGCTACATCATACAGCTTTTTCGTCCTTCTAGGACTCGTCAGCGATGCTAGATCATACAGCTTTTTCGTCCTTCTAGGACTCGTCAGTGATGCTAGTATGTAAACAATTATTCTTACAAAACCCTGAAAGCAGGCACAAATACTAAGTTAACTTGTAAAGGAACGTTTGCTATAGCACAGGTTCGTTAATTCATTCATTGTATCGTTTCCTAGGCAGTTTTAAACAATGCAATTGCCTTCACTGGAACAGTTCTATGGATATCACATTTGTTCAAATCAGTTTACTCTCCTGGACAGTTTGAACAGTATGATTTCGATAATTTGCATTCATATATATTGATATGAGGATTATAATATTTTCAGAGAAGAAAATAGTTCTAACCTATGGTACGCTGACAAACTATTTACGATTGAAATATAGTTGCCCATTGTTCTGATTTTGAACATTAGACAAAAAATGTTAAATATATTTTAATTATTAAGGAAGCAGAAGATGCTTCACCAAATTATATCTGTATCATCAGCCCGTATTACACTTCACAATAAAAATCTTCAGTATTACAATTCCCTTTGAAAGTTTCCGCATTAGATAAAATTTACCAACGAATGAAATTATTTCTCCCTCCCATTCACCCCCACAATAGAGTTATTACTTTCCTCAATGATATCTTTTGACCGCATTTAAGAGATATTAGATAGGTTACGACACGGACCGGGGGAATACGGAAGTAGAATACACACTACGTCACAACAGAGGAATTCCCTCGATCATCCTTGCTATTTTTAAACTCGTAAACTTGACAGTTTAGCAATATAAAACATGCTGGTTTGTATGGCAAAATCAAACTCGTCTTTGTTTTACTGAAGAAAGCAACATTCCTGATTTCCAACACGCATAAATATCTTAGTCTTAACGACCGAAACTATAAGATGGTAAGTGAACAACAAATACATTTTTAATGTACAATATTCCTTAGTCTTAATTAACAAGGATAACAGATGATGGCATTTTGGTTCATAACATTTTAACCACTAACTTCCATACATAAACCTCTACCTGTACCAACTCAAAGAGAATATCAAATTAGGAAAAAGGACTTCTGTATTTATTTTTATCTCTGTGAAAGAAAATAATAATCATTATCTGTATGTTGAGTTTTAAAAATATAACAGTAAAGTACCTCTTTCCATCTCGGTTTGGATTGATGAGAAAATCGAATTTTAATTTTCATTTAAAAAGTTTTGCCGTTAAAATAAATTCCTGAAAGACAAGGCAATAACGCTCACCACGAGATATAAGAATTTGTCAGCCACGTCGAAAACTATCACATTTAAGGGTAATTATATTTAATTACCAATATTATTCAGTGGTACATATTCCCTCTTGATGGGGCTGTACAACATTATGGTGAAAACTTATCAGAGTAAAAATACAAAAGTTAACTTTGTAAATCAAATTTACTGAATTTATTGAAATATTTGAAAAAATGTCAATGGACTGATACAGCGAAATGTTTCCTTTGTTGTAGACATGATATCCAGATCGAACTTCATACAAGTTTGAATGTTCACTTACATTTAAACAAATGATTGCTATTTATTACACCTTATCATATGGTACTTCTTCAATAATTAGAACACAGAAATGACTACTAATACCTATACAAATATCTTACTTACATGCTATCCATCTTATTTAAGTCATGGTTGTTGAATGACTGATACAGAAATGACTTTATGAAATTTTACAATTTCGAAAACTGAAGATGTAACAAATATCCGTCAACATCGAGACCTGGCTAATACGACCACCGACCATTTGGATGAAAGTGATCTTCATTATCTACTTTTATTGATTGTTCGGTACAATCAATTTTCGTAGGAGAATTATTTTGTTGAATTTGTTGGTACATTACGTGAATGTATGTGTCCACTAAATAATACATGGATAAAAGTTTACATAGATAATAACACTAGTGGATTTGACCACAGCATCAAGTGCTACCGAAAATGTATATTTTGGAAAAGCATGCAATTTTTAGCTATTTGATTATCGTGGCATTGAACTGGAGCAGATTATATCCTATTATTTGTACTTGTGTTTTCCGCTTGATAATGATAGATTTTAAAAATATTCTACCAAATTCTTTGGTATAATTGGAATGATAGATACTTTTACCGTGTGTGATCTGACGTAATCTTTTGTAATATGTTTTTGAGGGGAAATCTATGCTGCATTCCTATGTAATCCGGATGGTCGCTTTTAAAAAACATAATTCAAATGTTATGACAAGGCTTTCTATGGGTGGTAAAAATGTCACTATCACGGATAAATGATTGCATCAGATTTTTCAGAAACTAAATCATAGAGTCGAAAAGTAAATATTGATAAGTGATTTCAAATATAAAACAGAAGGCACTGTAAAATAAAATGTAATACTTCTTGATAAATCTTGGATATAATTTGTTTTCAACATAAAATGAATAATTTAAACACTGAAATGTACAATTCGTTCGGCAATAAAAAAATTAATATATTTTGAATAAATCAGAAAGAAAATGCCTGCTTTTTAAAGAGACATAACAAACTGATAAACATCTACTATGAACTATTACTATGAACGGAACACATATTGTCGATCATCGTTGCATTGAAAAGTAACAGAATCTTGAGTAGAGAGATTTGCTTATTTCACTATTTTCATTCTTTTGTCCAGTATTCACTCCTGACGGTCGTTCTGCTGATGGCGATAAGGACGTCTCTGTCCGCCTGCGTTCATTCTGGATCTAGATGTGCGTTGCCAGAGACAGTAAACCTAGGAATCCAACTAACTTCCGCCAGAAACGCCATCTCGACGGACGCCATTTTGTTGACGACACGGGATAGTCATCGAAACAACGATAACAATACTGTTACCATGTTAGAAGGTGAAAGCGATGTTTGTCCAGAACGCCTGGACGAGCTGGACAACACATTACACACTCCAGTCCGACACCGGGCAACATGTCCATACTATATGGTCAGCGAGCATAATCCCTACCGTTTCCCATCTACTCTGACAAGCGTCCGATGTCGGTGCCAAGACTGCCTGGAAGCGAGTGGTCGAAGCTATGACAACGTATGCGAACCAGTCTACGTCACAGAGGTTGTGTTGATGCGAGGAGAATGTGAAAATGGCATCTACAAATATAATCCAGCTGAAGTCCAAATACAAGTAGCCTGCACGTGTGCCAGACGTAGAGAGCATGAAAGTACACACGACAGCGTAGGACCAGTGTCCATATAAGCCGGGAACAAAAAGTCTGGTCTTACGGTAACTCCATTATCTAAACTAGACTGGTCTATATGTTACTGTGAAGATAGTTATTTTCGGGGTTTTCTAATTTTCGCTATTTTCGAGGGAGACATGAAACCGCTGAAACAAAATCTTGCATTTCGAAAATAACGATAATTATGGTTCTGTTATGAAATCCACGGAAATACATTCTTTTGCTAAAAGCTTTTTGTACTAGAGCTACAATTTATACCGTCGGAACAAGTAACACATAGTATAGTGTCGAGATCTATTAATAATGAAATATATGGAAATGTACAACATTTTCTACTAATTCTCTGTTCCAATCAATATAATTTTTCCTTCTCTGAAGTTTTTTTATCACTCAATCAGGCGCTTAATGAATTCCTAGACTTGTCATTTCATTGTATATTTGTTTTTAATATTTACTGTATCAATTTTGGGACAAAATCCTGAAAAAACGTCCCATCGGTAATTGTCGTTGTTGATTTTTTTCATTGAGAGTATATATCTTTAGTGACAAATTGGTTATTTTTCCTTTATATTTCCTACATAAGTATTTCAATGAGAAATTATTGTTTTGAATTTTTTAATTTATGTATGCAATGTAAGTAATGTATACGATTTATAATTATCGTAGGCAGGTTTTTTATTTAATAATTTATGTATCTTTCTGAGTTTAATTTTTATCGAATTTTGTGATTTTAGTCATTTTTAATCATTTACGTATCTTTTTGTGAACTTTTATCGACGTTTACGTTTTTAGACGCATATAGTTTTTAGTAGTTTTCATGTGAATGCTTGTATCAATAATAGTCATTTTTACTATATCTTTTTATATAAAGATATTTTAATTGTTGTACATTTTGTATGTATTTTACGGTATTTTTTTCAAAGTTAATCTTTTTTCTGTGATGTGTAGGATCATGTATGGGAAAAAATCCACAGCTTATTTACAAGACATGATATTAAAAAAAGATCATTTTGAGAGATATTACTGTATTTTTTTACATTAATTAAACATATGTGAAAAAACGTTTAACAAAAAATTGTAATAACAAGGAATAACTAGTGTTGAACTATATCGAAAACGAGGCCACGAAAAAATGGGTTCGGTTAAATTCGTTATAAGGCCTGTTTGACCGGTTTAATTAAGCGAGTCGAATTACCCATCAGACTTTTTTTCATGCCACTCCCCCTATTCGCAGTATGCAACGTTTTTGTTGTCCCCTGTTTTGTGTATTTGCGAACCCATATACCGTAAACAAAGCTTTACATTGATGTGTCTCAGAGATAGACTTGTTTCAAGCTACAAACTTCAGTAACAAAGTTGGCAGAGACTTCGAATTTTATTTACATTCAAAATGTAACATTGCGTTGATCTTAATTGGTTGATCTATATATTTATAAAGTATTCATAAAGGATTTTTTGTTATGTTTCCATTGTGTCGTTATTTACAGAATCACTGTATACGAAAATCGATTAATGTCCATTAGTGTTAAACATGTTTTTCTTAAATTACTATTTATTTATTACTCTATATATTTTCTACGTGTTGAATCTAAACTGCCTTATTGTTCGTTGTTTTATGAAATATCTAATTCTTTTTTACATGTTTGGTTTGCGTTTTCATGTGGAATGTTTGATACCCTTCACACAAAAACATTGTTATAATTGTACCCTATAGCAACACAACATTCAAGAAATTACCGACAACAAAATCATCATCCGAACACAAAATCAATGAAACGAGGCCGTTAACAAAACGAAGATATAGACGAAGATCCCTGAAAAGTACCCAACTCTAGAGATGATTTCATGCTAAAGAATTGATACAATAACATCACTTTAGTGGGGATACGCGACAATTGCTGAACTGAAGTAAACAGAGACTTAAAGCCCGGGGATGCCTGAAGTCCTTGCTGACAACAGTTTCGTTGAGTTAAATGACAATATTTTCCACAGGAAAAATAAAATAGGCGACAGATTACCGCTACATACACCAAATGTTTTCTGTATATAACAAAAATACTAAATATGTCCACTTAATCTTGTCAAATCAAAATTATATCCGCATTAAGTCCTAGGAAACTGTACAAAAGACACCTTTTAATCCAAATTTTGATTCAGTAGAGCCTAATATAGTGTAATAAAGTCAACTGCATCATAATATGTTCTGTCCTTCTAGAACTCGTCAGTGATGCTACATCATACATCTACTTTGTCCTGCTAGAACTCGTCAGTGATGCTACATCATACATCTACTCTGTCCTTCTAGAACTCGTCAGTGATGCTACATCATACATCTACTCTGTCCTGCTAGAACTCGTCAGTGATGCTACATCATACATCTACTCTGTCCTTCTAGAACTCGTCAGTGATGCTACATCATACAGCTGTTTCGTCCTTCTAGGACTCGTCAGTGATGTTACATCATACACCTACTTTGTCCTTCTAGAACTCGTCAGTGATGCTACATCATACATCTACTCTGTCCTTCTAGAACCCGTCAGTGATGTTACATCATACATCTACTCTGTCCTTCTAGAACTCGTCAGTGATGCTACATCATACATTTACTCTGTCCTTCTAGAACCCGTCAGTGATGTTACATCATACATCTACTCTGTCCTTCTAGAACTCGTCAGTGATGCTACATCATACATTTACTCTGTCCTTCTAGAACCCGTCAGTGATGTTACATCATACACCTACTTTGTCCTTCTAGAACTCGTCAGTGATGCTACATCATACACCTACTTTGTCCTTCTAGAACTCGTCAGTGATGCTACATCATACATCTACTCTGTCTTGCTAGAACTCGTCAGTGATGCTACATCATACATCTACTCTGTCCTTCTAGAACTCGTCAGTGATGCTACATCATACATCTACTCTGTCCTTCTAGAACTCGTCAGTGATGCTACATCATACATCTACTCTGTCCTTCTAGGACTCGTCAGTGATGTTACATCATACATCTACTCTGTCCTTCTAGAACTCGTCAGTGATGCTACATCATACATTTACTCTGTCCTTCTAGAACCCGTCAGTGATGTTACATCATACATCTACTCTGTCCTTCTAGAACTCGTCAGTGATGCTACATCATACATCTACTCTGTCCTTCTAGAACTCGTCAGTGATGCTACATCATACATCTACTCTGTCCTTCTAGAACTCGTCAGTGATGCTACATCATACATCTACTCTGTCCTTCTAGAACTCGTCAGTGATGCTACATCATACACCTACTTTGTCCTACTAGAACTCGTCAGTGATGTTACATCATACATCTACTCTGTCCTTCTAGAACTCGTCAGTGATGCTACATCATACATCTACTCTGTCCTTCTAGAACTCGTCAGTGATGCTACATCATACATCTACTCTGTCTTGCTAGAACTCGTCAGTGATGCTACATCATACACCTACTTTGTCCTACTAGAACTCGTCAGTGATGTTACATCATACATCTACTCTGTCCTTCTAGGACTCGTCAGTGATGCTACATCATACATCTACTCTGTCCTGCTAGAACTCGTCAGTGATGCTACATCATACATCTACTCTGTCCTGCTAGAACTCGTCAGTGATGCTACATCATACATCTACTCTGTCCTTCTAGAACTCGTCAGTGATGCTACATCATACATCTACTCTGTCCTTCTAGAACTCGTCAGTGATGCTACATCATACATCTACTCTGTCTTGCTAGAACTCGTCAGTGATGCTACATCATACACCTACTTTGTCCTACTAGAACTCGTCAGTGATGCTACATCATACATCTACTCTGTCCTTCTAGAACTCGTCAGTGATGCTACATCATACATCTACTCTGTCCTTCTAGAACTCGTCAGTGATGCTACATCATACATCTACTCTGTCCTTCTAGAACTCGTCAGTGATGCTACATCATACATCTACTCTGTCCTTCTAGAACTCGTCAGTGATGTTACATCATACATCTACTCTGTCCTGCTAGAACTCGTCAGTGATGCTACATCATACATCTATTTCATCCTTCTAGAACTCGTCAGTGATGCTACATCATACATCTACTCTGTCCTTCTAGGACTCGTCAGTGATGTTACATCATACATCTACTCTGTCCTTCTAGAACTCGTCAGTGATGCTACATCATACATCTACTCTGTCCTTCTAGGACTCGTCAGTGATGTTACATCATACAGCTGTTTCGTCCTTCTAGGACTCGTCAGTGATGTTACATCATACACCTACTTTGTCCTTCTAGAACTCGTCAGTGATGCTACATCATACATCTACTCTGTCCTTCTAGAACTCGTCAGTGATGCTACATCATACACCTACTTTGTCCTGCTAGAACTCGTCAGTGATGCTACATCATACAGCTGTTTCGTCCTTCTAGGACTCGTCAGTGATGTTACATCATACACCTACTTTGTCCTTCTAGAACTCGTCAGTGATGCTACATCATACATCTACTCTGTCCTTCTAGAACTCGTCAGTGATGCTACATCATAAAGCTGTTTCGTCCTTCTAGAACTCGTCAGTTATGCTATATCATAAAGCTGTTTCGTCCTTCTAGAACTCGTCATTGGTGCTACATCATACATCTATTTCATCCTTCTAGAACTCGTCAGTGATGCTACATCATACATCTACTCTGTCCTTCTAGAACTCGTCAGTGATGCTACACTTTGGGGAACCTAGAGGAAAATCAAAATATTGACGGAATTAAATTTCAAAATTTAGATGGAAAGGTGCACTACCCCTATTATTCAAAGAAATTAGTAATTTTCATGTATCATTTTGTCCTTATTTTTACATATCTGTGTAAAACAAACACTCATTCTGGTAGATTATCAGCACAAATATCACCCGAACACATTTCTCCACAAAGCTAGGAAGCCAAAATATATTACTAAGGAATGGCTTTAAATCTCTTTTAAATAAATGTTTGTGAACATAACATATGTGCATACAATGGTTATATATGAGAATA